AGGGAAGGGGGTAAGGGGAGGGAGGGAGGGGGTGGGGAGTAACCTGAGGTTCAGTCCCTCCCCCACATTGGCAGGGGACACCCCAGTCCAGGTATCAGGCAAGAGTCATGGTAAGGGCGCTCTCGCACATGCACACGTGCGTACACATATACACACATACACGCACGTACGCGTACGCGCACACGAACCGGGGGTGACACGTGGCGTCGCAGGCGGGCGTGCTCAGTGACAGGCAGGCTGGCTGGAGGTGGGCGTGGGAGCGCTGGGCTGGGCTGTCCTTTGAGGCATCACCCTTGGCTGGAACAAATCCCACCGACCCCCTGCCAAACATCCGGATTCATGTGCCACGAAGGGCACATTATGTCGCCAGGCACTGCAGGGATGGGAGAAGAGGGAGACGGTGGGGTGGGAATGAGGCGAGAAGAACGAGAAGCAGCGCGAAGGCAATTCCGGACAGTGCGTGCGTACCGACAAACACACATATGAGTTTAAGCAAGGTGCATTGCGATGAAAGGATGGAGTGGTGAAGGAAGATAGAGGAGGGAGGGAGGGAGGAAGGATAGGGTATTGTGGAGGGAGGGAGGGAGAGAGAGAGGCCTGCCTGTCCAACAATAGCCCAATTCAGCACGGTGGCGGCAGCCCCTCGGAAAAGTCCGCTGTAAAACAAAAGGCCTGCCAGGGAAAGAGAAAACGCAAAGGGGGAGGGAAAAAAAGAAGAAGGGAGAGAACGGCCTCTGAGGTGACCTCGAAGCTTTGGTGATCTCAGTCCGCAGACAAGCCCGTGTCAGCCTCCCTCCTCTACAGCTCTGCCACTAGCCTCCGTCGAAAACGACGCCACGCACAAGGGGAGGGCAGAAAAACCGCGACAAGGGAGAAGGTGGAAAAATGGAAACTGCAGCTGCGGAAGAAAGGTTCTCCTCTTTTGTTCCGTAATTCCACAGTAAAAGGAGGACGGCGGCTGTGAGGCTACACGCTCATTCACGCGACTACATCTCGTCTCCGAGGCTCCCTCCTCTTTCAATGCCGATGCCGTCGCTGCTGCTGCTGCTGCTAACACTGCTGCTGCCAGCACCTTATGAAAGGGGTGTGTGTGTGTGTGTGTGTGAGAGAGTGAGGGGGGAGGCAGTAGAGCAGCAGAGCAAGCGATCGAGTGTGTGAGCGCGCAGCAGAGGCTGTACGTGAGCGTGTGTGTTTCGGAGTGTGATTGAGAACGGGTTAGCATGGATGTAAAAAAAAAAGATGGGGGGAAAAGGAAATAATAGCAGGGTTCATAAAGGAAATCAAAGACTGAATAGAAAATACATGCAGACCATTGCAGGTTTCCTAAGAATAACATGTAATAAAAAAATTTTTTAAAACAAGTGCGCATCTTCTCTATCTTCCCCATGACCTGCTTTAGTTCTACGCTAATTGAGTATTTGTCCTATTCAACACTCATTTTATCTTTTAGCATTCATTAGCAAATTCCAGGCCAAAGCACAACAATTACAGAAAAGAGAGAAATTTGTATTTTTCTCATTTGTGACTGAATAAAGAAAAAAAGCAAATCTCATCCACTACTTTCATCAGCACAC